CTGTTTATCAACAGTGTCCTAGGGTTTCTTTGAAAAAAAAAAAAATAATAAATTCAACCACCCAGTTCTTAGCAAGAATATAGATTTTAGACTCTACTTCATGTGTATTATAATTTCATGGATGTGGCTTATATGGTAAATGAAACTACATATTTCTAAATTTAAAAGTAAATTCCATTCCCCTGATGAAATAAAATCTCTTTTCAGAATACATCTGTTCCACCAGCAAATCCTGTTGGTGTTTCCCATGGAATTTGTCTAAATTCCAACCACCTTTACCTCTCCATGATATTTAAAGCTGGCTTTAGTTCTTTCTTAACTCTGTCTTCCACATTAGGCTCCTGGCTTCCTTTCCCTCTTTCCTGAAGAGTCTCGTTGTTCTCTTCTTCCTCTCCTCTTCCTTAATTCCTTGCATCCTCTTTTCTCTGTGTCAGCCCTACCAGACATACTATTTTATTTCTGCCATTTTTTTGACCCTTGGTCCTGTGTCCTCTCATGTCAGTGGACTCTTACATGCCCTCTATTATCCCTTTTTTTCTTTCTTTTTTTTTGAGATGGAGTCTTGCTCTCTCACCTAGGCTACAGTGCAGTGGTGCAATCTTGGCTCACTGCAACCTTTGCCTCCTAGGTTCAAGAGATTCTCCTGCCTCAGTCTCCTGAGTAGCTGGGATTAACAGGTGTGCACCACTGTGCTCGGCTAATTTTTGTAGTTTTAGTAGAGACGGGGTTTCACCATATTGTCTAGGCTGGTCTCAAACTCCTGACCTCTGGTGATCTGCCCACCCGGGCCTCCTAAAGTGCTGGAATTACAGGTGTGAACTACCATGCCCGGCCTCCCGATATTATCTCTACTCTTGATTTTAACATTTCTTACCAAGATATGTATCATATTGAAGTACACTGTTTATTAACAGCAATACTGTAATAATGGTAGTTGGAAAATTTTCACAAAAATGTCTGATTTACATTCTAGTAATAAACAGTCCATCTGATCTCTTGAAGAATTTTTAATAGAATACTTGACCTAAACTGTAGTTAATAACAATGTATTTTATACTTGAAAATTGCTGAGAGAGTAGATTTTAAGTGTTCTCACTACAAAAAATGATAAATCTGTGAGGTATAATGCATTTGTTAATTAGCTTGATTTAACCATTTCACAATGTATACATATTTCAAAACAATCTTTTAACATCACATGTATATACGAGTTTATTTGACAATTAAAAATAAATTTAAAGAAGATAATAATTTAATTAGCGCATTCTTTGAACTGGGCCAATTTCTTTTTTTCTTTCCTTTTTTTTCCTTTCTAGAGCCAGGGTCTCATCCTGTCGCCCAGGCTGGAGTGCAATGGCATAATCATAGCTCACTGTAGCCTTGACCTCTCTGGCTCAAGTGATTCTTCTCCCTCAGCATCCCAAGAAGCTGGGACTACAGACTCATACCACCACACTGCGCTAATTTTTATTTTCTGTAGAGATGGAAGTCTCTCTGTGTTGCCTAGCCTGCTTTTGAACTCTTAGACTCAAGTGATCCTCCTGCCTCAGCCTCCCAAAATGCTGGGTTACAGGTGAGAGCCACCACACCTTGCCTCTTCTTTTAAATTAATGATTTTTATTACTTCATTAAAGATTTCTTAAATGAAACATTTTTTATGCCACTGACTTGATTCATACTAAACTGCTAGCATTGTTTTTGTGCCATCAATACAAATGTCAATACAGCCCTGGGGAAAGGCAAATCCTGTTTGTTTTATCATAAGGAATAGTTCTGATTTCTCAGACTACTCACAATGGTCGTGGGGGTCCCTAGAATACCATGAACCCCAACTTGAGAACTACCATTTTAATTTGCAAAGGTATTCCATAAAACCATATTATTTCTTCTTATCTAGACATTTTATAGATGAGGATGGAGCACTAAGGGACATTTCAACACTTAGTATATATTAGGAACTTAAAATTTGTCTTTGTGTTATCAGTGAGTAAACTAGACATACCTAAAATCCAGGTCCCCTGATATCTGGTCCTGTATTCCTTTTATTAAAGATTTATTTATTTTTCTAGGTTTGGATGGACATAGGGAACCTGTAGCAATGTAAAGGAGGAACATCTAACTGTCTAACCTCCACACTGTGCCACAGCTCCATCAATTTGCATGGCGGTGAGTGACATTAGTTACCCTGACTTGTTACACTACAAAACTTTGTGGGAGTCATTTCAGACACTGGATTTAATATACGTAGATGATACTCTCAGAAATAACATTTTTTAAACTTGAAGCTGGCCTCCCCGTCATCTCCCTGTGTGAACAGGTCAACTCTCCTAAAAAAGGAGCTCTTGTAGTTTTAAGTGAAGAAATGTAACTCCACAAAGAAAGCAAGGTGCGGGAGTGAAATGACCAGCCACGCAGCAGACTCAATACAAACTGGTTGAGGACAAACAGTGTAACTATTACAGAAGTGGTTTCTTTTTTTCTTTTTCTTTTTTACCTTTAAGCTCTGTTGGATTGAGAAGGCATGGTTTCTTTGCTTGAAATGGGTCCATGTCTTAACAGTTGTTTGCAGCTCACTCACTGGTGCATTTCCTTTTTTTCTTTATTATGTATTCAACAAGCATCTGCCTACACTTTCTATGTGCCAAGTGCTGGGCTGTGTTCTAGCTACACAGCTGGGATTCCAGCCACTCATGGAGTTTCAGTGAGTGAAGTCAGGAGAAGACTGGTAGGGAAAAAATATCAAACAAATACATATATAATAGATGCTGTGACAGATTTCTGTTATAGAGAATTGCAAGACGGACCTACTGAAAGGTGAGAGGAGTGAAAAACATTACAGACGAGAAGCTGCAAGTATATTCAAGGAACTGAGAGACAGACCATGTGGCTGAACAAGTAAACAAAAGGGCCAGTGGTATTAAACAAGGTTAGAAGGTAGGCAGGGGCCAGATAATGCAAGAGCTTGCAGGAGTTTTATTCCATTCTAAGTACAAAAGAAGTTTATTCCATTCTAAGTACAAAAGAAAGGCACAGTGGGGGACTGGGGACATGGAAGGAGGTGGGTGTGGTGCATGACCTTGTTGATGTTGTAGAAATACTTAGGTTACTGGATGAAGAATAAATTGGAGGGGGTTCTAGAGTGGAAGCCAGGAGACCAGTGAGGAAGCTGTTGCTTTTAGAGAAACTGAGGATCCTTGAAAAAAATATATAATCAATGATAGAAACTTCCTGTTCAAATATGTCCAGGCCCTGGGGAAGGAGAAGTTTCTTCCTATTACTTATTATTGTGTGGTGCTAAGTTATGTTAATTAATTCATATAATTTCTGATCTGTTCAGTGTCTGTCTCTCCTCTTAGAAAGTAAGCTTACGGCAGAAATGGTGCTTTGTTCACTCCTATCCCCAGGACAAAACCATGTCTGCCACATGGATTCTCAATAAATATTTGCTGAATGAATGAATGAATGAATGAATGGAATGAAAAGGGTAAAAAAGAACACTTGACTTGGAAAATGTATGCACATGCACCAATGGAAACAGATACTTACTTCTAAGAAGTTGTGATGGTCTCAAACTGCAGATAATTTTGTCCATGTGTTCCTCCTGTTCTATTTTCTAGAGCTGTTTTTGACATTAACAATCTTAGCACCTGATTACTTGAGTACCAATGGGATACCATGCCTCTCAAAATAACATTAATTGGTTTCTAGGCATAGATTTGAGAGGAATGGATGATTGCTATTTTTCCACAGGAAAGAAAGAAAATGGCCTTTCATGGAAACCCCAAACATGCTATTTCCCCAACAGGTGATGGTAATTTGGAGCATCCTCCTTTATACAGGCTACCCTGAGCTCATTAAAACCCCCAAAAAGGCCTATGAAACTCTAGCTCATCCAATCTCCCAGGGAGAAAAAGGGACCCAGGCCAGATTCTTTCTTCTTCATCCTACCAGTTCACCCTGAAAAGCCCAAATCTAGTTTGATTCATGCTTAGCCAAGGAGACCTAGTAGGAATCCGTGGCTCTTTTTTCTGCTCTGCAAGGTCTTCCTACTACCTGTCCCCTCCTGCGTGATTATATTTGAAATCTCTTTCACAAAGGATTTTAAATATTAAAGAAAGCTAATCATGCAACTCTTTGCCTGACATATTTTTGTGTAAATGACTTTCAATTAAAATGCAATCACTCAGTCACCAGGTTTAAAGGACTGATACAGATTTGGTTAGTGTTTCATGAAAGGGAGACTAGTTGAGAGAACAGAAGGGCATTGTGCAGTCATCACTATGGGAGAAAAAGGTTGGTGAAGGAAGAGGCAGGAGACCCACTGCAAACTTCTCAATTTTGCTTAAGGCGGGTCCTGTTTATCTTCAACTGGGTGGAAACAAATAAAAAATTGTGCACCTGGCATTTGTGTTGTGCAGCTGCAAACCCAGGAGCTTTGTCTCCTGTGATTTATGAAAATGTGCTACTTTTGTTCTTTTCATGTGTGCTTGACTTCATACAAAGGAGCATTTTCCCCTGAAGATTCGTTAATGAAAGTTACACCATAGTCTTAAAAGGAAGTCAGATGGGATGTTTAATTATTTACAATTGAAAATATAGAACATGTGCCTGGTCTGCACAGCCGAAGATATAATTAGAAGTTGCTAGAGAGAGAACAGGGCGAGGGTGTGCAGACATTTCAAACATTAAAAAGAAAATTCCCCCCAAATTGCTCACAAATGTGAGGGATTAGTCAACATACTTGGGGCTCTCTGAAACTTTTTGGCAGCCCATAATTTCTTCGTGATTGAGTAGTTGCAAGCTAAAAAATTGCTTTCCTTCTCAATGCCATTTTGTTAGACATTTTTAATGAAGTAGCAAATTTGTGGCTCAACAGGAAAAGCTCACTGACATCATATTAGAATTTATAAGCCCAGCCGACATATCTAGTTACTTCGTTTTTAGGTTACCGCACCTGTGTAACGTCCATGTATTGGCAGATACATTACTAATGCAAATACCTTGGCAGACACCTGCATGCTGTTTTCTTGCATGTTCATAATGGCTTCAGAAATCTTGACATCTATCGGGTCCATGACCGACTCAATGTTGAATGGCCCCTCCAGTCGCTCTGCCACCAAGAGCATTGCATCTGTTAAAATACAGGAACATGATTTATTTGTGAACTGGGAGCTCCAGGTTCCCAACCTGTGTTTAAACATTGTTAAAACAACTGGATGAAAAATAACCGTGCATTCACGTTTTTAAATTTGCTTTCATTATAGTACAGAATGAAATAGATGACTGAATCTTAATGATTGTATTTTGTTTGAAGATTCAAAATTATTTTATATGTCTAGAACCAGGGCTGAAAATAAGGAAATTAGTCCAAATGCAGAATGTTAAATATATCTAATGATTCCACATGAAGTAAAAAGAGTATTAGGTCAGGGATCAGCTGCATTTAGAAAAGGAGGTCTCGCCTATCTTCTTCTGGAGTCTGGGGAAAACTGAGAATATGAGGGAAGACGTGCTGATTTGTGAATTTGGATGCACAAAAGTCAAGACCCAGTTGAAGCATATCTACCTGTGTGATGCATTTCTGAGTCTCTCAAGATGTATAGATCTGTCTGGATGGGATCACACTACTCAGCATTCCTTTCAGCATTTGCACTTTGACATCTTTTGGGGGACAGGGGAGCTTCTCTGATTTGGTTTTGTATATTCAAGGCCTATTATGGTACCCACCACATTATAAGCTCTCAAAAAAGTTGATGAAATTACACTGAACTGAAATGAACGCAGTATTGCTTGGAAATATTTAGTTTTCTGTTGAAGACATCAGCTATATGCAAAGTCTGAAAGCTACTGTGGCCTGGGGGAAAAAGGAAAAGTTTTTGGGTTGGATCATAAGGACTTAACATAGAGTCACAGTTCAAAGTTATGGGGTTGAAATCCTCTCTGAGCAGGTTCTCTTCTTGTTTAAATTAAAACACTCTCTCCGTTAGTAGAACTTATCTTCTATAGGTAAGGTGAGAAGCTGTTTGATTTGTATCATAAAGTGGGGAAGTGGCCGGGCGCGGTGGCTCAAGCCTGTAATCCCAGCACTTTGGGAGGCCGAGACGGGCGGATCACGAGGTCAGGAGATGGAGACCATCCTGGCTAACATGGTGAAACCTCGTCTCTATTAAAAAATACAAAAAACGAGCCGGGCGAGGTGGCGGGCGCCTGTAGTCCCAGCTACTCGGGAGGCTGAGGCAGGAGAATGGCGTAAACCCGGGAGGCGGAGCTTGCAGTGGGCTGAGATCCGGCCACTGCACCCCAGCCTGGGCGACAGAGCGAGACTCCATTCCACAAAAAAAAAAAAAAAAAAAAAAAAAAAAAAAAAAAAAGGGGAAGTTCCCTTTGGTGATGTCAGTGTTTCTGTTCCACACTGAACCCTGACCGCGGTACTAGACTTGCAGGTTCTGAGGCCTGCAAACCCATCTCCCCCAGCCACAATCAAAGTGCTCAAGTTAACCCTTTCCTAAGCAGGTGCCTTCTTGGCCTTGGGAAAAGGCCATCCTATTGATGACCCAGCACTCTTCAACATAAAACTAAATGGCCCCATTTGCCCAAACTACCAGTTCCTATATTTCTGTTCATTATCTCAATTCATTCGCCTTGTTATATAAACTAAGATAATACATTTTTGATATAAGTAGGCCCTATTTATTTTTCTTTTAATGTAGACCACCAGTCAGAATATGCTGCTTTATGTTGTTTCTTATCTGGTTTATGCCATTACTAATTTTTAAAAAACAGAATATAAGTAAAAACATGAAATAAAATTAGATTCTCCTTTGAGGACTCCAAAGCCAGTATACATTGGCTCAAAACTTCGGGATCATCCTTAGTGAGACCTTTTGCAAACTTAAAAATTTGCTAAGGGTAGATTTCATGTTTTTTTTAAATTACCCACAATAATAAGAACACTAATGACTGTTATATTAATTTCAGTAGTTCTTACTAATCAAAATACCTGTTGATAAATCATTAACTAGTGTGAATGTATGCAAATACATTGAAATACTGGATTCCTTTTACTAAAAAACACATAAATTATTCAAATTCTTAGAAAAGCTCAGAGAAAATGTATGTGAAACAGCTAGATAAAATAACGTGGCTGCACTGACTATAATGATACATAGGTTTTTGTGAAGAATAGGAGGAAGACTGACAAAGGGCATCAATAGTGTGTTTTTGGGCTTATATTTTTCTGATGACAGAGCTGTTTGTGAAAAAAAGCTACCTGATAGAAGGCCAGAGAAATCTACACAAATAACATGATGTCTAAAAGAAGAAAAAAATTTAAAAAGCAAACATATGTGTATTCTCATGATATAATCACCCCCATCCCCAGTTCCCTATTTTGTTCTAAATATTCATGACATGCAAGGAAAAGCAGCTTTTCAGAAAACTCCTCCAATATTTTTCGAGGCCACTGTAAAAGGTCAGGTTCATAGCTACTGCCTGTAGAGGCCAAGTTCAAACACATGATGAGGTGACAAAGCAGTGGAAGGTCAGAGCTGTCGGCCCTGGGACTTGGAAAAGGCCTCAAAGTGAATGGTGGCTCTTCTTTGACCCCAGGCCCCAGGCGGAGAGAGGGTCTGCATGGCCCACTGAGCAGCCGCGTGCATCTGTGCTTGACTGCTTTGCTTCCCACCCGCCAGGCAAGCCTGTCATCATCAGTCAAGCTCCCTGGAGGAGAACCTCCTTCCCACCTTGGGGCTGAGGAAAGTCATGCCTTAGGACATGACACCTCAGCCTCTCTCTCAGCTCAAAGTGAAGAAAACACAAAATAACTTGGTGACATCAAGGCAGTAGTTGGTAAGCTTCTCTGAAACCAGTTAAGTCACAACATAGCATAACTTACTCCAGAGGCTGCCATCCTGGGCTGTCTTAATTATCTCTGTGCCACTTATATTTTGAAATATTGGCAACATTATTTTTAACTCTGCTCTTGGAGCTGTTTTCTCTTGTCAATTAAATCAGGACACTTACAGTATGTCAGCTAAAGATCAGCAGATCCCTTCAGCTTACATCTCCTGTGTTACCCGTTTTGTTTCTCCTTGAAGAAGACTGTTGCCTCCCTAAAGCAGTATGTAATTTTTATCTGGAGAATAAAATTTAGATATATTAGAAATAACTGATATATCAGCATGAAGTGTGGATGTACATAGACAGACACTGACTCTGTGTTAGTATAGGGTTGGTGGGGGGCATGTAGCAGCTCCACCAGAGGTGCCCAACCAAAGGCAAGGAGCCAGGATGCAGGTAAAACTGCGCCTCTGGGCCAAGGCCCTCTACTTGTGTAAGCATGGGGTTTCTGGTTAGGAATGAAGACTGTGGAGTCAGGTGCCCAGGTTTCAATCTAGACTCCTCCACTAAATGGCTGGGAGATAATGTACAAGTCATTTAGCTCACAAAGTCCCATTTTCTTAATCTATGCAATGGAGATTATGACAATATATGCCTCATAGTGGTGGTAGGCACAATGAAATGAGATCGTGCTTGTAAAGTTATTCAGCACAATGACCAGCACAAAATTAGCTCCTGACAAAGCTTAGCTTTTATAAGTCACCACCTCCAGGAACTGTAAGGGGAAAGGAAAGGACCAATTTGCAAGATATTTTGGTGGAAGTATTGACAGCAATTGCTATGAGGAATAAGGGAGTAAAAGGCACATGGATGACTTTAAGATGCATAGCTGGTGCTCTTCTGCATGTTAAATTAATCTTTTGATAATAGCTGCCTTTGGATGGATGAGTTCATTAGTGAAAGATACAAAGCTGCATTATTTTCTCATGATGTGCTTATTTGCCAATTAAAGATGACTGCAATATCTTTGACACTCTTTTCACTGAGAGGTGGGGTTTATGTCCTGTCCTCTGAATCTGGATTGGCTCAGTGACTCCTATGACTGACAGCATGTGGTTGAAGTGACACTCTGCCAGTTTCCAGTGCTAGTATTTAAGAGACCACTTTCTGTCTCTTACAAGACTCTACTCTGAGATCACAGTGCTGGAGAGGGCATGTGTAGGGATTCCAGATGACAGTCCCAGTTGAGCCTAGATCTCCATCTGCCCTTGCCAAGGTGCCAGACATATGAGCAAAGCCATCTTGAACCTTCCAGACCAGACCATCTGCCAGCTGATTACCACTTGGTGACCCAGTCAACACCACATGGAGCAGAATAATCAACTAGTTGAGCCTTGCCTGAATATCTGGTCCACAGTGATATGGTTTGGCTGTGTCCCCACCCAAATCTCATCTTGAATTGTAGTTTCCATAAACTCCATGTGTCGTGGGAGAGACCTAGTGGGATACAATTGAATCGTGGGAGCAGTTATGCTGTCCTCATGACAGTGGATGAGTTCTCATGAGATCTGATGGTTTTATAAGGGGGTTTTCCTCCCCTTTGCTCATACTTCTCCTTACTGGTGCCATGTGAAGAAGGACATGTTTGCTTCCCATTCTGCCATGATTGTAAGTTTCCTGAGGCCTCCCCAGCCATGCAGAACTGTGAATCAATCAAATCTCTTTCCTTTATAAGTCACCCAGTCTCAAGCAGTTCTTTATAGCAGCATGAGAATGGACTAATACACACAGTACACTGATTTATAATAGTAGGATTGTTATTTTAACCTGCTAAATTTGAGGATAATCTGTTTTGTGGCAAGAGAAAACTGGAACAGCCAAATGATAATATTTATAAACTACTCAGATAATTTCCCCTTTTTGTTTGACAGGACCTAAATGTTCAGAATTTTAGTCAATTAATATTTAACAGATTTAGCATTTATGATGTCTCCTCTGATTACAAACATTGGGATGGTCAAGAAAATATAAAATGTTGTCCAGAAAGGAATGGAGAATTTGCTCTAATTTCTACAAGGCATTATGGTACACCAAAGGCACATCAGGTAGCCTCAGGTGAGGAACCATGTCTCCCTTGGAATGTGAGAGAGATACAGAGTAGGTTTGGAAGAAGGAAACAACTCTGATTTTTGTCTAAGTATTGACTTCATGAAGAGTGAAGTTTCTTGACACAGGGAGGTAGCCATTATCTGCTATGTCTGGATGGCATTGGATTAAAAACTATCTTACTGC